CTGTGATCTGCAGCAGAGTGGAGCTCTCCAAAAGTCCAAGCACTTTGTGCTAATTGAATGAACACCTTCCACTAAAGCCTCTGGCTATCAAAGTGCTAATTTGCTTCCTGAGGCTGAGGACCAGATTTTCCAAAGCCATTTTCCAAAGCAATGAGGCAACTGATGCAACATGAGCTTCTAGTGAGCTACTCTTGTATCTTACCTGGGTCACTGAGCTGAGACTCATTTGGCAGACACCTCTGGCATCTGTAGATCCTGATCTGGCCATCAGCAGAGACTGAAGTCACACTCATCACTGTAAAGATATTTTTCTGCTCCATATAAAGAAACACACCCTTAAGCCAGAAGGATGTGTCAGGCTTTTGCCATTTCACATTGTGTACAGAGATTTAGTGTGACTGTGAACAAGGATTTAGTCTTGCTGTACTGCACATGACCCGTGAAACAACTAACAGGTCAGTCAGCTCTGCAGGTACCTGGTCTGCATAAAAATCAGGCCTACAGTTTTCCCTTACATCTCTGATGTGCTGTCATACCGTGAAAAAATCAGACCTGTTTGCAGCTGCTTCATGCCCAAAAATATTGTAACTTTGAGAAGACTAATGGAAAAATCAAGAGGGAGAGCTTGAGACAAAATCACTTAAAGGCAACTTTGCATCTCCTCAAGTCTGTATTACACAAAGCAGTTACAATAAGTACAAGATTAAGTACTATCAAGCCTCTAAAAAAAAGCTGTGCATGTTAGTGCCCCTGAGCAAGACAGCACCCGGGATGAGGCTCTCAGAGGAGATCATCTCCCTCCCTTCCCCTCTGTGCACACACACAGAACAACATCCTCATCATTCTGATGTCACGGCACGTCCAACCGATGACAAACCCCGTCTAAAGCCACCACAAATCTCCCAGACACATCGGAGGAGTGCAGCCGGCAGAGGAAGGCAGCACGCAGCTTACATCAGCCTGCATCAGGTTGCTACGCGACCGGGAAATCTGCACGTGTTGCCATGACGATGTCACCGCATCATCATTCAGTGCACAGCTCCGAGGAGCGCAGCCGGCCCTCCCTGCGCACATTCCGGCACAGAAAAATGTGGGATCGAGCTGGAGCTCGGCAGCACGGTGGGCGGGGGTGCTGCAGTCAGCCTCTCACTCGGACAAGGCTCGCAGGGCTGCTGGGAGAGGTCTTTAACCTTTTCTTGTTAATACTTTGTGGTTCAGCATTTTCCTCTGGCGTTTCTCAGATGATGCCATGTCTGATACCTGTGACAGCCACGCACAGCATGCAGATGGGCAACCCACTCTCGGGGAGGTGGCAGCATCCTTCTACCCTCACCAGTTGCCAGGGAATGGCAGCAGCCAGGGGAAACTCGGGTAAATGCCTAAAATATCCCATCTGGGAAGGGAGGGAGCTGCTGGTGTGTCACTGACAGCACATGCTGCTTCCCAGGCTCTCACAGCAATAGTATGACTACAAATGTGCTTGATGCTCATGGTGAATAGTACCAAAAATAATATGGTGACAATGTTAAAGATAACTGGAATGCCACAGGATGCCTCACCTATCCAGGAAGGATGATCAAGCAGGAGCTTGTTTAGGTAACCTCAGCTTGGTGTCACTGTCTAGATACACCTTGGAATCTTTAAGGACACTTCCAACCCAAACTATGTTGAGCTCCTCAGGAATGGGAAGAGAAGAAAAGGCTTTGAAGAGTAGAAAAGGAAAGCAGGCACATTGTTAATCAGGCTTCCATATTGAGAGCACAGGTCAGCAAAAGCCAACACCAACAACCACATTGCAGCAGGAGAAAAGGGATGCTACTGAACACAGTCTCTGCCCCAATAAGGCAAATAACCACTGTGGCCATCAATCACCTTTACTGCCCTGCTCCACTCTCACCTTTTGCCACAGGAGCAACTGCTCATTTGCAAAAACCAGCATCAGCTGCCAGTGCCCCAAGCACTGCAGATTATGGAAAGGTTTTAGAGAGGAAAATCTTGCCAGGCAGGTGCAATAGTCAGTTCTGGCCCAAAAACACTGGAGGGATCACAACAGGTTTTTGACTACCAGGCAGATGAAATGACAGATAACCTCAAGCTGTCAGGTGAGTTATTCAGAGGTGACATGGGATAAAACATAATAGCAGAGGGGGAGAAGTCCTAGATAAAGACACAGCTGAAGAGGAGGATGTGAAACAAGTCACTCTGAGGAGCTGCTCAAAAATAAGATTGCAGCCCAGTGTGATGGGAGAAGGGGCAGCTGGTGTTGAACACTGTGGGAAGTGCTCCCTGCACACTGGGATACAAGGGAGAAGGTCAGCCCTGATGTGGCTGGGCTAATGGTTCCTCTCTGCAATGTCAATCACCTCACTATGGCTGGTGGAGTGATTTCAAAACTGGCTTTTCTGGTTTGAGCAACAAGAAACCCTTTCCTTTTCTCAGACAAGACCTAGGCACAGTTGAATCCAATGTAAACTTGGCCAGATTAAAAACCAGAAACAGGACATGCAGGAGCTTCCTATGAATTCAGGTGTGAAGGCTGCCTGGATGTCTCCAGAAGCCCTGCCAGCCTCATGCCTGCTCTGGCTGCCTGTGCCTCAAAGTCAACAGGCATCAACACAGAGGCTTTTCAGCCAGGTTTGGACAATACCAGGAACACTTCCTTCTCTGAATACCAAATATCTGCTGCAGGTTGTACTCAGGGTTGAAGAACAGAGCAGAAACAGAATACTCTTGTTTCATATAGTCTGAATCTCAATCCTGCTCATTGCCACTCTTATCCCAGAACAAGGTGTCCTGGCAATGAAATAGCAAACCCAGCCCTTGCTCTGTCAGTATGTGTTTTGCCTAGGTGCCCAGCAAAATGCTTGTTCCTTTCTTTTTTTTTAATTTAAGTTTGCAATGCCAGACTATGTGGTAAACACATCCATAGGAACAATGTCAAGAAAATGGAAAAATTCAGATCTTTTGCCAGTCTGTTCATGCTTGGAGCAGCATCCAGGGTCTGGGTTTAAAAATAACCTTTACATTTCATTTAATAACTGCTATCAAAATCCTATCTGAACCCTAATGTAATTATTTTTTTCTCTTTCCCATTTTCCATATCCATCTGAGGGAGGAATGACAAAATATTGTCATTATGTGTCCTTCATGTCTCTGTACAACTCTTTGTAATTTAGCTGGTATTTGACTCAGCCATTTGAAAGAGCAGATTGTACCACCACACATCCAGGCAGCTCCTTTCTCAGTGAAGGGAAGGAAAATTGCTGGCATCACACAAAAGCTCCTGTATTTTGCTTTCCATGTATGTTTTCACCTTTGTGCTCTGCAGCTTTTCAAAATGACTGGGTTCACCCAACCAACACAAATCTATTTTTTTTCCTTCTTCTTCTTCTCCTCTTTTTTTTTTTTTCCTTTTTTTTTTTTTTTTTCCCTTTTTTTTCCCACAGAGAGGTTGTGTTTATATTTCCTTTGGACACCCCATGGGACTGTTTGAGAGGGGAGGTGAGAGTTTGTGCCTCATCTGTGCCCCAAATGTTGAGCTCTACACTTGATCCAAAGAGTCACTGTTGTGGTGACACAGGTCACAGGGAGGTGACCCTGTCCTTTTCCACAGGGAATGGTAATGCTGTTCCTTCTTTGCAGTTACTGTGACAAAAGACATGGGGGAAAGCCCCTTTTGTTTTAAGCCTAACAGTTAGTTCAGAGTTGCCTTAGGACAACATGGGCTTTGCCCAGGATGATCTTGAGAGTGATTTAATCTCATTTCTTGTTTCACAGTCACAACAGAGATGAAAAAATAGTCAATGGACCTATAGGAAGGTTTGTTTTGTTCCCACACCAGGCTGGTAGAAGCTGGTCAGAGCAAAGGTTTGCACAGCCCATTATCTGAAAAGGGGCTCTTGGGAGAAGAATAAAATTAGGGCAGAACCACAAGGGTTCTTACTCACAAACCCTACAATCTCCAGCAGGATGATGTTGAGGAGCTTGGCACCAGAGACATTTTCTGGGCCTCCAAAAGGTCTTCTTCTGTCAGTGTGCCTGCTTTTCCCTTGGACCCTGTGTTTTCCTCACCACACAAAGGCCCAGCTCTTTGTTGCTGTGGCTGCACAACCCCAAGAAGTGCACAGAGCAGACCTCCTCTTGGAGGGACATGGGGAGAGCCCTGCCACAAGTGACTGCTGCCACTGTCCCCTCTCCCCATCTCCTACCAGCCCCCATCCATACAGAATTCCTTCTTGCCCCCAAAGCAGTGCCAGAGTGGAGTGATAACTTTTTGGTTTTTTGTCATTCAGGTCCCAAGTGCCCAAGCGGGCAATGAAATGGTGACTGTGGGATGGTGGGCAAGGGCATGGAGAGTGAGCCACAGAAATGGCTTTCAACAGCTGGCAGGGAATAAAAATAGTTCTGCTGGTGCATGGCTACAAAAAGGTTTATGCACTTTGAAGGAGAAAATTGACTCCATTACAGTCAAATGTCTGGACACTTCTGATTCTCAAGGAAATTGGTTTTTTTATGCCTTTTGTTGAGCTCCTTTAGCAGAGACCTGCAGCCCATGTGCTCAAGTACCTGATCTTCACACCACTGCCTTCTCTGTGCCCACTGGACCTATGGGAGGCAGGGATAACTGCATCCAAAATCTCCAATCTTCCCTTGGTCCTACTAATGTTTTCCCAGGTGCTTAGAGCCCATGGTCCCTCCCATCATAGACTCTTCTCTGTCTCTGACAGCGAGAGTCTTCTGCATGTGCTGGGCTGGATTTCTGACTGCAGATGCCCCTGAGAGCCAGCAAAGAGCACTCCTACCAACCATTACTGGGTTTTGGCTTCATGGCCCCATCAGAGATTCTCACCTCCTTCCCACACTGTGGCCCAGGGAGAGCTGGGATGTCCCAACTCCTCTGAGGTTTGGGACATGTGAGATTCATGGCTCTTTGGGACCGTGCCCATGCTCCCAGCTGGGACCAGTGGCACCACACACCATTTTTCTGTGGAAACACTCACCTAGGTGAGGACCCTGGCATCAGCTGTGCTGCAGGGCTGTGAGTTCCATGGTACTTTTCCCCAGCCTTGAAGCATCTGCTTCTCTGATGGGCTATGGGGACACCAGCAAGTGCCACCTCTCTCCAGTGAGCCCACACACATCCACGGAACCCCTGAGAGGGCATTGCTGTTGCTGGATCTGGACATCTGTGAGACAGAAAAAAAAAAAATCTTTATCAGAATTTGTCAGATTGGACTTGGGATAGGGGGTTCAGCTTCCAAAGACTTTGATTAGAGCTACCTGGGTTAATTGCTGCCCAGAATTTAGCCAGGTGTTCAAGTCTCACATGAAAGCCCAGAATTTAAAGGGATTTTTGGCTTTGAAATATCTTGTGTGTTGGCTGCTTCTGCCTCAGTAAATGACTTGTTTTGTTACAGTCACATATGCTTTAGATGCATGGGCCTTTCTGGCACACCCCTATTCCCTGTGGGGAACCCATGTGCTGATGTTCCCCTGCCTGGGCACAGCCTGTCAAGCTGCTAATGGGGCACAATGGGTGATGGAGAATGAAGCTTCCATCTTCATTTTGGAGCAGCAGCCCCAGCGAGCAGATGTAGCCAAGTGATGCTGACATTTAAAGCAACTCTCGAGATTACATTACAGAGATTATATTTAATATGGATGGCCAAATCTTTCAAACAAAATCAATGTTCTTTTACTTAATAATACTCATGCCACATCTTAATGAAGGCTCCTCCAGCCCAAGGCCCCAGTTTTCTGCCGTCATTTGGTTGCGTGACATTGCTGACTGCATCAGATGGTACATAATGCTATTTTCATCCCTTTCTATTGGATTTTATGCCTTCCCGTTCTTGATTTGTCAATTGCCGGATCAATTAATCAAGGGACTCTTAGGGGAGAAACATTTTTATTACTGAGAAGGAAGGGGAATTCATTTAAATTCTGCATCTTCCTGCAGCATCCAACATCTATTATTAACTCTCCCCACCAGGCATGGAGAGGAGGACAAAGGATCTACAGACAGATCTGTGGCCATCCGAGTTATTTGCAGAAACAAAACCCATGCTGGGCTGATGCCCGGTCTGCCCCTTGGTTTTCACACTGGGAGAGGCACCCAGGCAGTAGCCCTGAGCCAGAGGAGCCTGAGGGTCCTGCAGCAGGTCCAAACAGGCTGTGCTGGAGCCTGAGCGGCAGTTACAACATCTGTGGCTGAGAAGACAGAGACACTTGTCATCCCAGTAAATTCAATTTAATTAGTGATGCCGGAAGATATTGAGTCGAGACAGGAGCTGTACTAAAACTTTGAGCAATTACAGAGCCCAGCACCAGCCTCTGTGAAAGCTCGGGGGAAAAGCCAGTTCATTTATGTGTCAACTGGTGCCTGTCTCAGGGTGAAGTGAACCCCAGCAGGGACTCCTGGCCATGCTTGACAAGCTGTAAATTTGCTGCAGCCCCAGCTCTAGCCTGTTCCAGAAAGCAGACTCCTGGCCCTAAACAACCACCAGTGACCAGGTTTTCTCCTGTCACCTCTCTCAGGTGTGATTCCTGATTTCGCATCACTGAGTTCCTTGGAATGCTTCACATCTGGACTCCCTCTTTGCATGTACCAATCTTTGCATGATCTTTCCCAAAATGCAATGTGGCCTTTCCCCTGGGAGACACTGTAGGAAGGCAGATAGCTGGAAAAACCAGTTGGGAGTAAATCCCAACCAAAACACAAGCTTCACACATCGAGTCCAAACGCTTCTGAAATTTGGGCATTTAAGGACAGATCAGCCTGAGGTTTGCCCTGGACAGAGAGCAGCATCAATATCCCTCCATGATCCATCCCTCCCTTTAAATGTTCTCTATTTGGGGGTCAGGTTGGCACCCAAATTGCCCCATGGACACCTACCTCCTCACACTCATCTGACCAATGGCTGGTAGTCCTCCTGCTCTGGCGACATCCTCCCTCAGGGTCTGTGCTACAGAGATTAAAAATAAATTATGAAAAAGCATTATTTAAATTGTGTCTCAGAAGAGGAATATGAAATGCACAGACCATAATACAGTTTGCCACTCTTCCGTCTCAATAACCCCCTGTAAAGAGCCATTATTATTGTTTGTCTGTATAAATTCTGGTGGGGCTGGGATAAACTCAGCCCTTGCAGCCACCTGCCCCCACGTTGCAATGGAAAGGCACAAGCTCACCATTCCTTTCGGCTCCTGACAACCCTTTGCCCCACCCCACAGGGAGGAGACCCCCCATATTTTGCAGCCACAGGGAGCTGGGACCAGCTGTGGGCACACCAGGCATCTGGATCTCCCTTGCTTCTGGGGCCTGTCAGATTCACTTGATGATCAGTGGTTATTTAATGAGGATATGTGGAGCTGCTGGGACTGCAGGCAAATGATAAAGGTAGGGCTTTTGTGTCCCAGGGTTTAAAAATAAAAAGCAATTTTTGCAACCACGCCAGGAGAAGGATGTGCCTTGTGAGCCTGTCAGGGAGATGTGGGGCCAGGGTAGGAGGAGCTGAGTTATCAGCAGAAAGGACTGATGGGAGCATAGAAATGCACTCAAACACCTCTGCCAAGACCAACTCTTCCAAATAAATTACCTTGCTCAGGAAATATGCAGTGGACAGACTAGCCCCACAACTATGTTTGAATCTGTTCTTTTCCTTGTTTGCTGTGGGACAGAGCCTGATCCCAGAGAGGCCAGGGCTGCTGGCCAGTGCATCCATGTGGTGGGGGGTTGGGTCTCCGAGCCTCAGCCAGTGACATTCTGGGAACAGAGAGGAGGTGGCACCCAGGTGCTCGACCAAATGAGGGCCCAGAAGGACTGACCCAGTGGCATTGGGTGGACTTTGCAGTGACCACGGAGATCCCACAGACAAGAAGGAAGAGTGTGATGGGAGCACATCCTCCCGTGGTTTATGTTAAACGCACCAAAGTTTTACACTGAAGGAAGGACTGAGACTATGCACAACACAGATGTGCCTTACCAGTGCCCTGGGCCCACAGCACTGATGTGACCACTGGTGCTCACCTCCTGGTCCTTCTCCAGAATCCTGGGCTCACCATCAGGGCTGCCAGCATGTCCAGGTGTGGGGAAGAGGATCCCAGCCTGTGCCTGACTGCAGAGCTCCACATGGAGCACCAACACAGCGACTGCACTGCCTGCATTCCTCCGTCCCCTGAGCTCTTCCCTCTGACCTCTGCCTGTACTGCCCCAAGACACTGCTGCTCCTCAGAGCTCAGCAGGATTGTCCTCTCAAGGCTTGGTTTATACCACTGGAGCAGTAGGGAAGCTGTACTGCTCCTGTAGGTAACCTCCACCCTGACTTCCATGGGGCAGACCTGTTCTTCAGAATCACACAAAAATACCAAGAAGAAAGCACTTTCTGACCAAGCTTTTCCAAAGCATAACAAAGCATGGAGGCTCCAGGTGGATCAGAGGGAGCCCCTGGGAGTGCAGCATTTGAATCAAGTACCATTGCTCTGCAAAGCCCACTGAGAGGGACATCAGCCCTGACTGCCATGGGTCACTAAGCAGCTTTGATAAATCAATCTAATGGTATGAATGACACAGAGGGGTAAATCTACCCCCCTATAGTTTTAACGTCTGCCAAGTGGTAGGCAGGGCTCAGAGCTCATTTGAATCATGTGAAGTCAAGGACCAAAACATTACTGGGGATGTGGCAGGACTGCACAGCCACTGGGGCCATGGCCAGTCTCAGGGAACAGACTGGGTGTCCAGGCTCTGCTCTCTGCCCTGAGCAGGCAGGTCCACCAACCTGTCTACAAGAAGACAGAATTTGGTCCAGGGCACAGTATTCAGGATATTATAAAGGTAAATGACAGTGTGGACACTGCACAAACACAGCATGGGCTAAGGACCACTGTTTGCCTATGCCCCGAGTAAACCAGGGTACTGAGCTGAGCTCCCAGGCACCACAGGCAAACAAAGTCACTTAAAATAGCAGAAACCAAGAAAACAAAGACTATCTGTTATTTCCTTCCACCCTCTCCAGTTCCCTAAAAATAACTCTCACTAACATCTCCATCCATGCAAACAGCAGGAGCACCCCTCCAGCTGCTGGCTCACCTCAGTGGCTCCAGTCTGATGCACAGTGACTGTGGGCCACTGCTGATGTGCTCCACCTTCCCACTGTGATGACAGCTGGGGGACTGTGGGGTGGCACAGCTGCTCCTGAAGGCTGGGCACTGAGCATGATGAAGGAGAACCTGCCCTGAGTTTCTCCAGCGCTGAGGAGCAGGCACAAAGCTCATGTCTGATCAGCCCTCATAGCAGGGCTCAGCACAGGGAGCACAAACCAGCCTCCATGTCTGGGACCAGCTAAGGACTACCCTGACGCTGAAGGAAATCAACCATTTTTAGTGGTTCTATGCCCTAAAAAGGAGGATAGATCCCACGAGTGTTGAGGTTTCAGGATCTGAGGGAAAATGATGCGAAAAGGAGGCTGACTTTACAATACAGAGGTTATGGCATGGATTGGGGGGCTCTCTCTTCTCCTTTAGGCACAGCTCAAAATCCAACACCACAGCCAAAGTTTGAAAGGAGTTTAGCACAAGTGGATTTTGCCTTTTCTGAGGCAATGACCATCTGAGCACATCATCACCACTCCAGCCAGAGCAGGAAAGGCACATCCGGGCCCCCTGACCTTGGCCCCCCAGCCACCCAATGATGTCCTTCTGCAGCCGAGTCATATTTTTAGGTCCTTCTCCCTGCTGATTCATTAGGGGAGCTAATGTTCTCCAAACTGCTGGGCTTTCTGACCCTCGAGGTGTGCACGCCATGCTCTTCTGATAAATATAGACCACTTCAATTACATAACCTGTCTAATAAGCAGCATCCGTCCTCCCTGCGGGCAGGCAGGGACCGGGAACAGAAATGCCTCTGCCAAGGGTGTGAATGGATGCCTCGCTCTCCATTTTATTTCCATTGTCTTCTGTTTTCAATGACTTCCTGCTGCATCATCTTAAAGACTGACTCAGTGAGGGTCCATGGCCCTGGAAGTAGTTCAGGTTCAGGGCGACCTCTCCACTCTGCCCATCACTGCTGGTGTGGGGGGCAAGGCCCCTCTTTCTAATTCTCCCCTCTGCTCGGGGAGACGTGGTAGAGTGGGAGGATTAGGATTTGGAGACACTGAGCTAAAAGTTGGCTTTGTTTCCTAGCTGGATGTGTCAGAGCCTTTGGCAGATGAGGGGTAACCCAAGGACTTATACGAAGGGGGTGCAATGGTGTGTCACTGGAACAGACACCTGGCTTAGCTAACAGAGCAGCAAAAGCACCTACCTGTGTGCTGTGTCAGGCTTGAAAAGTCCATGTGCTTGGCAGTAAAGATGCCTTGGTATCAAGGAGTGAGATATCGTGAGTCAGTCTCTGATCTTACAAGATGAATGTCTGATAACTTTAGGACTTGGATGTGACTGCAAGGGCTGAGTGGCAAAATACAGAGCAATCATTTAGAAGAGCATTCAAAGTACAGTGTGAAGCACATTATTAATAGACTTGACAAATGCATGCACAAGTGGGATGATTTCTTTTTGTGCCACGGTTTTTAAATCCTGGCCTCTGGTTCCTTGTGGCACTTGCAGCAAGATCCCTGCAGAGAGGAGCCAGGGAAAGCAGGTCTGCCCCACAGCAGGAGCTTTCTTTCCTTGAGGATGCAAGCCCTGTATCATTTAGGGAGAGAAGGAGCTGTTCCCATCAGCTGCAGCCATGGTTTGGCACTGCTCAGCCAGGCTGGCTGCGAGCAGCATCATGATGGCAGAGGGCTGTCAAGACAGCTTGAGGGATATTTATGACAAGGACCACTCTACTTATATTTGTTGTTCCTGCTGTGCCAGCATCCAGCATGTCCTGTAATAACTTTAATAGCTTTTATGCAATGGCTAGGAATGATGAAGCTAATTCAAGATCAGGTGTTTAACCTCTCTGGTTTTATTCCTGTCTTTATCTGGTCCCTTCCAGCTTCCCTCACTGTTGGATTCAGGCTGAAGCAGGGGGCAGAAGGCTCATCCCAAAGTGGTGGGATCTGCTCTGACCTTCACAGACGCAAATAGCCCTGTTTTGCACCCAGGCTGTGTCTCTCCTGACATGCTGTGGCTGCCACTGGGCACCACCTGAGGGGATGTCTCCAGTCCTGCTGAACCACCTGGGATGCAGCTGTGTGACACATGCCACTGGGCAGTGGCAGAGCTAACAGTAGAGCCCCAAGGTCTTTTCCCCAAGGTCCACAGTCCCCCTGTGGAGCCACAGATCTGGGGCTTGTCCCAGCCTTCAGCAGGAGACACCAAGCCTCAGCACTCCTTGCCTGCAGTGCCCTCCTCTACCTCCTGTCCTTAAATGATGCAGAAAGTCTGCTAAGGACTTTCCTGCTGGAAGGACTCAGCAGGAAGCAGCTAATGCAACCTCTCTTGTTCATCCACGGGACTGATGTCCAATGGGTAATAAAACCACAGGCTCCTTTCTCATTAATCCCTAATTATGCTCGCTCTCACTCACAAAGCACTTTCTGTCATTAGCAGAGGAAAGCTGAGAGCCTGCCTTTAACCTTCACATGTTGTGAGGAGGCAGACCTGAACGCCTTGCTGTGATCTTGCATAAAACATCTCCTGTGCTGCCTCTCAGGGGCTTCTGGAAAAGAATCTCCCTTTCCCCAGTGCAGGCAAAAAGCAAAACCTCTAGAGGAGCACAGCAGCTGTAGAGAGAGGCTGGAGATGTCCACTGGATGTGACACCTGGCCGCAGAGTGACCACGGGATCAGGATTGCCCTTGCCCTGCTCCAAGAGCCCTGTGATGGACCAGAGAGGCCTGAGCCAGCTGCCTTGCCCCTGGTCACTCATCCCAGTGCAGGAGTAGAGAAGGAGACCAGACTATTCCAACAGCTTCAACACCTTAATTTAAAGCCAGGCTGGGCATGAAGGCTGAGGCACCCCACATTCTGAGACCACACAACATCCTTCACATGGTGCAGGAGCAGGAACTGTGAGAGAGCAGAGATCACAGCTGGACATCAACTCCCAGCTGTGTCAGACAATAGGATGAACTCCTGGGGGGGGGTGAATGTGCTGAGCATGTGGTAGGGACAGGCCCAGGCAGCCCCCTGGGTTGCAGTAGCTGGAATTTCTGTGCCAGCCCTCACTGCTGCTGGCAATGTGGCATTTGCTGCCATTATCCTGCTGCATCCTGCCCTTGTCCCAGCCAAGGCCTGGGGCCAGGAATAATACCTGTCCCAGATGGACATGCACCAGCAAACCCACAGGTAAGTGTTAGAGCCTGTGCCAGACAGAGTCCTTGCAGTAAGGGTGCCTGTGCTCTGTCCCTACCCTGGGCCCACATCACTCACAGCATCTCTGATAAGAGCACCAAGGCCACCTGAGGGCTGTTGGTCAACAGGTCCTTTCCCAGGTCCTTTCCTCTCTGGCTTCCCAGGTGCTGGATGAAGCTCTGAGATCCTGTGGAATGATGCTCCATGTCCCTTTCTACTTGTGTTGGCCATGAGGATCTCACATTCTTCATGCAGATGAATGAGCTGGCAGGTGCCCACACCAAAGCCCAGTGTGGGTGAGGAACTGGACCCAATCTCTCTCCTTGTGTCTCCAGGGACAGGCAAGTGCATGGAGCCTGCAGTGTCAAGCAGTCCTCAACTTCTCCTTCGTGAACTTGGCTAGCACAGCCTGATCCATGTAGGACAGTGACTCCAGCATCATTATTCTCCTGGTTCAAGCAACAGAGGGTGTCCCAAAACCTTCTCATCTCTTACTCCTAGGAGGGAGAGAGGAGAAGGAAGGCATAGAGCAATAAAGGAATCACAAAAGTTTTGTTTGCTGCCAAGATGCCAAGAGAGGTTTAAAGCATTTCCTTTAAATGCTGTTTTTGCTCCTGCAGAGATGTGTGTTAAGGTTTGTGAGAAGCAGCACAATTTCAGATCCTGACCTGCCCATGTCCAGGACTCTGCATGTTTGTCTGATCATCAAGTGCTGGAAGGTTTCCCTGCTGTGACCTTGAGACTGACCCAGTGACTGATCATTTGTGCCCATCACAAAGCACCCTGGGAAAGTGGGGACCTTTGCTTAGGTAGCTATAAAAAGGGCACTTGAATGAAGTGAGTTCAGAGCTGAGTTTCAGAGAGCTCTTTGAACAGCACTGGCAGGAGGTGAAAAGCTGTAGGAAGCAAACCTTGGGACCTACCAGCAGGCAGAACTACTCCACTTGAATAATTTCAGTGGATAATCGGGAAGGGAAACTTACTGTGTCAGTGGGGAGGGGGATGATGAGGCAGCTCCTTGCCAGGAAGGTGAGGAAGCACCTGGCTGCCAGGCAAAACATGGATTGCATAAGGCAGCACTGTTCCAAATGATTTTGCAAGCTTCCCTGGAAAGGTGGGTAGCTTCCCAGCCTGCCAGTGGGAATCTTACTGACATTGAGGGATTATTCTATCCTTAAAGAACTCAGGGTCTTGCACAACTGACAGGAAAAGAAGCAGGAGGAGCCATTTGCATATCTCTAAATGCAGGACATCAAGTGAGAAATATGAGCAGAGAGAGGAGACAGCAGCCTGAGTAGCTACAGGGACACACAGGCAATGCCAGCATTGGTGGGCAGCCTGTCACAGAGAACAGAGATTCCTGGGGCAGTCCAATGGTCCTGCTGGGAACCACCCTATGCTGGATGTTCTTTCTCTTCTCACTTTCTCAAAAGACATTTAAGTAGAGAAGTATTTTAACACAAACATTTTCCTTCAGCCTCTAAACCAGGAAGACATGCTCCCAACAGCTGCACCCAGCACCGGCAGGAGCCAACACCTTCCCTAGCACCTCTATCCTGTTATCACTAACATTTCCCTCCTCTTTGGGTTCAGTGTTAATCTACATCCATTCCCCTGGCTGACAGGACACCCAGCTGTTCAAAGAACAGAGCAAGCCTTGAAGGAAGGGGTATAAATAGTGCAGGGGGCAGAGGGCAAGACCAGCAGCGATGTTTGTGCCAGGTTATGGCTCTGCAGAAAGCTGTGCCTCCTGCTCCTCCCACAGCATCTCCTCGTGCTCTCACACCATGCAGCAGCTCATCCTTCTCTGCTACCTGTCCTGGGGATGCAGAAGCAATGCTGAGGCCTCAGCCCCTTTAGTTCTTCTCTCTGGTAAGGCTGAAGGTGCTTCTCTGCCCCCTGAAGCTGTGGGTGAAGGGGCCCTCGCCTCCTCCCTCAGGAAAGCAAGATGGAGAGAGAAATGCAGGGAAAAGGCTGCTGACCACCAAAACCATGACACTTACCTGTACCTCCACATCTGCCTCTCCCATGCAGCCCAGCAGGAAGAACCTCAGATGCAGCAAACACTCCCCATCTTCTACTGAGAGCAGCAATGCCCACATCCCACCTTCTACTGACAGCAGCAATGCCCACATGAGAAACAGTCCTCCCAGACAAAGACCTTCAGAAAAGGGATGACAAACCATCTGGAGGCCCTGCTGTAGTGGAACAAAGACATCTACTTAAAAACTCAGGGCCTGATATCAACTCCTGATAAAACTGCTTGCCCAGCAAGGACAGAGGCAAACTCTCTCTCCCCCACATGCCTCAGCCCAAACCCTCTAGAGTGACAGTGACCCAACCAAGTTATAAGCACAGACCGTGCTACCTGCTCAGGAGCATTGTCTGGTTGAGATTCTAAGTTCCTATTACCTCAGGAAATAAGACCACCTTTCCTCATTATATAGAGCTACAAAGGAGGGGTTTGGGGCAGCTGGAGGGTGGAAGCTTTGGCCTCCATTACTAATGTTTTCTGTAAGGACAGGTAAGACAGGGAAATACATTTTTTTCATTGCATATTCGTGAGGAAAACAAGTGGAAGAGACAACCACCTTTAGAGAGTGGCAAGTCGTTAATTTTGACTTTGGGGAAAGGATTTGAATGCTCTGAGCATATACAGACATGGCCAATGTAATTTCCAGCTGCAGAAACTGCTACCAGGATCTCTGCTTCTTCTTTCTGCCACAGGAAACCTGCTGGAGATGTGGGTATTTCCCTAGGGCTAGCACAGCCAGGCTATTCTCACCGGGTAATGAGGAGCTGAGAAACACAGCCCTTGTGCCTGCACACCTGATTAGCACTCAAGCAATGGCAAGAGAACTCAAGGGCCCTGTGACCTAAAGTTATGTTAAAGAAAGGCTCTCTAAGAATGTGAACCTTGCCATAGATGGTTTCGTGTGTCAGTAATTACATGGGAGGTAACAGAATACAGGTAAAATGGAGGACATACCCACCTATCACTACCTAAGACAGGTTATTCTTCAGCAATCCTGGTTAAGCAGCACAGCACACTACACTCTGAGCTGTAGTTCTTGCACACTCAAAGGTTTCTATGCCTCTTTACATGAAGGTGGAAGGGAGGGTAGAGCCAGGCACCCTTTTCCAGCCTCCCATGAAGAGATGAGGGGTTCTCCTCCCTCAAGAGACAAAATCCATCAGTCAAGCATGGAAATAGACACCAGTCTGCCCAAGCCAGCCAGCCAGCCATATGACTGAAGACAAGGTTTGTTCCTTACAGGTGCAGTAAAAAGAAAACAGCAAAATTAAACACATGCAATGCTTCAGGTCTTTATTGTTGCTGTAGAGTAACTGGTACATGGTTAAAACATTCTAATAATATCATCAGTGAAATCTGAAAACTAAGGCTTTCTGTAGGTTTGTAGTGTCCTGGTGTTTCCTTTCACACGGTGCACATATAAAATCAAGTTATCAAAACACATTTCTTTTTAAACAACACCATTTGATGCAATGCACAAAACTAGGAACTACATTTCCTATGATCAAGACAACACCTTACAGACCAGCTTTGGGCCTTGCAGCTTTGCAGGCAAGAGAAAAACATCTTGGTCTGACATCCTGCTACCCAGATGAGCCTGATGACACGCAGAGATGGCAGGATTTCAACCTTCTGTTCTGAGCAGAGAGAAAGAAACCCCCTGATGCTGATGAGGAAACATCTGATTGAACAAAGGGGAGCAGCATCCTTAAAGCACAGCATTGATCCCAAACAAGACCTGCAGGCCCTGCAGACAGAGCTCAGAGGGGCAGCTGCTCGGACTGCAAGAGAAGGTGAACTGGGACAAACCTGCCACTGAGTGAGATGAGACCCAGTGCCAATCCATGTCCCATGGAAGAGGGCTATGTGATTCCTGGAGTACTAGCACCTTTATCCCAACAGCATTGAAAAAATTTCCAAGTGATTCACCCAGCACAGAATCACAGAATGATTTAGGTGAGAAAAGATCACTGAGTCTAACTGTAAACCAGCAATGCCAACTCCATCACTAAACCATGTCCTTAAATGCCAGCTTAGTGATCTTTGAAAAGGGAGAGAGGGTAGGAACAAAGTAGTCTCCAAGAAATCTGTATATCAGAACCTTTTGATTAAAAAGCTACATTTTCACCAGAGGGGAAAAAAAGCATTCACAGAAAAATCTTCCCCCAGTTCCTTAATCACTTTTTAAACAATGAAGCTTCTCCATCCACAAAACTTTTAGTTTTTATTCAACATTTTTCCCATCTTGCATTTCTAATTGACCTGAAAAATGATGCACATAATCTAAACATCTATACCAAACACAAAGCCAACATCCTTCCCTGTGAGAGGAGGACTCTTCACCTACCACACACTGCATCATGGAGTTGGGCACTGCAAACGTGACATTACCAGCTGAAAAGCAGATTATTCTTTCTCTTTGATCCAAACACATGAGGGAGGAAGATGAATTACAGATTTTGCAGAATGTTTTTACCACATTACAGTAGTTTACATGTTGGGTCCAGCTGGGAGGAAATCCCTTGTAAGGGTCAATGATGGATTGCACTGACTTCATTTTCAGAACCCAACTTTAATTACACAGAGACATAAATCCTGCACTGTGCCAGGACCAAGACTCACACTGATGTTCTTGGTACATCTGATGACACCACAAAGTTCTCTGAGCAACTGAGAAAAGCGTAGCTGGTATTTTATGTCACCAACTCATGGAACCTGTCCTCTGAAGTTATTCCTGAAGATGATGTTAAGGCTATTGGAGTAGGCTGGCTATGGTTACTCCTGTATGAAAGCACAGCCGTGGCTCAGGACAGACTGGAAGAAGCTTTTTAGGTCTCCTCTGCATTAACCACAAATGAGGTTTTTAGGTTTTCCTTCGCAGTGGGTTACCTGAATGTGCAGGGTATTGGCTGAAGAAAAGACAGGCTATGGAAGTTTAAGCTGCAACCATGCCTGGGATATCACAGAACTGCTTTAAAAAAAGACCTCCTTCCACTCATGACAATGCAACACCACTTGTCAGGTACACAAATACAAACATGAAAAACTCATTAAGCAATATAACCCTAAATATAAACCTACTTTTATTTATTTTTAAGAAAAAAGGGATTAAAAAATTTGGAGTAAACCAGATGGCTTCAAGTACTTTCCACATAATAAACAATTAGTTATTATAAGCATAGATTAAAAAAGACTTGTCACCTTGCAAGGGACAGTTGAATAGAGGCTGGTGATTTGTCCAAAAAATGGTCTTTAAAATAAACACATTAGACAACATGCTTAGTGTTGTAATTTAGAAGCAAACAGGTGTGTCTACCATGCTGACCCAACACTTGAGACACACAGCACAGTACGAGGTACATTTTGCACTCTGGACTTTCACATTTCATGGCCACGCCACTCAACAAATGGAGCCAGGGCATCTAGGTCCAGCTCAAACAAGCCCTCATGCAATAGAAAACAAGTATTTAGTAAGTCAGGAAGGTTTTACAGCAATACAATTGTTCAAGTTGTCTAAAATTTTGGAGGTTGCAAAACAATTTAACCTGAAGACCTGAAGTATCTAGGAAGTGCTGGCAATGTTTTTGTCTTTTTCTAGGTGAGCATGAACATTACTTTTATTATATATGACAAGGGCAAAGTGCCTTGCCTGAGTTTAAGCCTTCAGGTTTTGTGAATGTCATGAAAATAAGGGAAAGTACCAAAAGTTGTGGAGGAGGTTGAAAAAGTAATTATGTCATCAGGAAACAAAGCCAGTATGCAAACGGAAGATGCAGCTCTTCCCTGCGCTAAGTACAAAACTCAAACCCATCTCTTGTACCACCAAGGAGAGAACCATTGCATTTCAACAGGTCTGTCTGACAAGAACAAGCAATCTTCCTGCTTAAGTACATGGACACATGAAATGCCAAAGGAAACAATGTGAAAACCCAAATTAATACTAGAAAAAAAAAAAAAAAGTAGTATCTTGCCTATTCTGAAAACTAAATAAAATGTTTTCAACCAAAGAATGTCTACAAGGTTACAAGGAAGCCTTTTTAAAAAACATTTTCCAGTTACTCAGAGACAGCTATTTTTGCCTCTGTGAGAAAAAAAAATACCAATAAACCAATAAAAAACCAGCTCCACTATCCTGCAGCTCTGCACACTACAGTAGGAATGAGTCTCCCACAGCTAACAGGGAGACTAGAACAGTGTGAAACAGAGTGAGAGATAAAAATTTAGCTGCACAGGTCTATTAAATAATCAGCAAACACTTAAATGGAGGCAGAGTGAGAACTGTACTGATTTCTGTAGTATGACACAAGACTGCAAGGCTTAAAAATCCTCCTGAGTGTCCAAGCCAGAATAGTTGAATAATTGGTAGGTTCAGTAGTGTTTGGAAAAGCTTATGCAAAAATAATACTACAAAATAAGTTTGAATATTTGAAATAGAAAAAAGAAACAGAACAGTTTTTCCTTCGACTTTCATCTACCATCAAAACTTACCAGTTTTCCAAATTCGGTGCTTACTTAACACCAATGTCACTCTAAAGAAATCATACATCTGCCTCTCTTTGCTGAACTGTTTGGGTTTCTACATGAAACTTCAGCGCACATCACATTTATTAATGTCCTCATGATTGTTCAGTAATCCAGCAATTTGTTTCTCAATGACAGCAGAATGCAGTTGCTAGTTGCTTGTGAGAGCAATGTTGAAATTACATTCAGAGATTAAAAACTACCATTTTCACGTGTAGCAATAACTAACATTTTTCTTTCTCTTCACAGAATCATGTGCAAATGTCTAACAATGGCGATAGTAAAAGACACTTCTCATGCAAAAATTGTTCCCTGTGCATAAAATTTGCAGGGCATCTCAGAACCACCCTTCCTTCGCCCTGGAACTAATTGATTTTTACTTTCGTGTCGTGAAATTTCTGTTGCTTTTTAAAATATTGATGGCAAGCGAGTTCAATGAGTTCCAGCCCACCAAATATCTTTTGCTGCACAACGAAGAAGATGATCATGGCTGCAAAGTACCACTGTGCAAAGCTGTACAGGTAGAGCAGCGCCAGCATTCCCAGCGGGAACACCGTCCAGTAGAGGAGCGAGGCGCACTTCACCGCCAGGACCCTGAGCTCGGATTTACAGGGCGGGACAATGCTTTGCCCAGTGGCATTGAAGCATCTTCCACCTTCGTAGAAGTGTCGCAGTCTCTCCTCTTTCTCTTCCCAGCGCTGCCGGCACCAAAGCTGCAGCTCCTCCTTGGAAGTGGGCACTGTCTCTATGGGGTATCTCTGGACGTGGAAGTGAATCTCCTTTGGGAAGTTTCCTTTCAAAAGGTGCTTCTCTGTCTGAGGAATGTTTTGGGGGTACGCCACAGTTATGTCATGGATAGCATCGAGGTTGTCACCTAGAAGAAAGGTTTGGGGGGAAAAAATATCAATACAGATCGTGCAACATTCAGAATACTAATCTGCTTCAAGACATGATTGAAAACTGTCAAAATTATGGCAGAAATCCCAGAGATACATTAACTGTGCAGACTGTGTTTCATCTACTAGAATATCTAAAGGCTGAAAGGTCAAACATTTCCCAATCATTGCCCGTTCTGAATCTGAACAAAAAGCTTTGGGAACAAGATTATACACAGTACAAACTAATGCAGAATTACAATAGTAAATGAATTAAGTCAAATGTAAAGGAGAGAAGAGGCACATCTGGTCTTGGACAATGAGCACTGTATGTGAGTCTGATGTTCAGCTGTTTGGGTAAAGGGAACACAGCTAACCATTCAAATAGCAATTGCACATTAGAAATTCAAGGGGCTATTGATGAAAAAAAAAACCCTAGTCTTCATTAGCATGCCTGATTGAGCCAACATTTTTGAAAGAATATCAGTGTTGCCAAAGCAGGGCTTGCTAGAGCATCCTTGTACAAAGTGTTTTTACATTTTGCACTTTCTAAATACCGTCTTTATCCCCCAGCCTCTGAACAGACATTCTTTTTAGATTTCATAAAGTAAATTCTGCTAGTGTAAAACTGATCTAAAAATAGGCATGTGGTGCACTGGACGTTGCGTAACTGCTTAGTTCTGCCAGCAGTGATTTATGTTGCTGTTTTTATTTGGCTGGCTGGCTCAGGGCAAAATAGAATTGGAGACTAAAAGCTGTCTCCAGTTGCAGCAATTGAAGACTTTTGTTCTCACAGATGATGCCACTTCTTGCAAAGATGATCAAAACCTACTGTTTAGCCCCACTCTTCATTTTCATTTCCTCTCCTTCCCTGGCATTTTGGTTTTCCTTTACAGCCCTAAAAATGACAGGGCCAGAATAGAAAGTTACTTTAAAAGGCCATGTTCAAAATGATGAATCTAAAGTTCAACTCCAAATATCACAAGAGAGGGAAAAACCATATTCAGCCTTTCAGAGTATTTTATAACTGTGCTGTCTTCAAGCAATCTCTCTCGGACAGTTTTGTGGTAGGTTACTTGGGGTTTTAAAGAGATTTATATGGCTCCTTGGAGGTCTATCAGAGCAAAACTCAAGATTCCATCTTTTGTCTAGCTCTGGGATCACCTCTGAACTGAGCAGATAATCCCTGTGTTCTGTAGAGATAAAACCTATCAGATCTCTTTTTTCTTTGGCATCAGAGATGCCAAAATTGATCATGTCTTAGGAACTCAGCCCTTACAAAGAAAATAATTGCCAACCTGTTGCACATTAGTACAAAACATTTTAGTTTTGAGAACAGCTTGCATTTTAATTCCCCTATTCCAAATATTTCTACCATCAGATTTATAGTCATCCTGCAGGACAGACATCTATCCCTTACTTCCTGGCCCAACCAGGGGAAGGACTACTATATAAAAGTCCAAGAGATTTCCATCCCTTACAATCTCCTTCCTCCTGATTCTCCATAGCTCCCCAGGTCTAGTGGAACATAACACCTACACACTTTAAAAGGGAGGCTAGAAAAGTCCAGTCTTCCAGCTAGCCTTGCATCAAAAAATTATGAAATGAGTTTTTGACCAGATGAGTTTCTTGCACATCTTGCAGTCATTCATGTCTGGGCAGCTGAACCATCAGTCTGCCAACTACATGAACTACTTGAAAAGTCAAGGCTTTACACTTAAGGGCCACTGGCAAACAGACCACAGGTAATAAATGACCAGATCTGGTTAGGACACAGATTTTCTGACTCTGTGCAGGCAGGACTCCCTGCACTCACATAGCTGGTCTGATGTCTTTAGCACACAGGTATATCTCTCCCCATGAATTCCTGATCAGAAACAGGAAAGCCTCTACTCCTTGCCTATGGATCCATAGCCCCCCCCCCCCCCCCAGACAAGATACCTTCCAGCAGGGCTTCCCACCAGACTGCAGAAGGTCTACACTACATTATGGCTTCTTAGTTAGTCACCCAGAACAAAGCTGCAAGAGCTGCACAGAGAAAGGTGGATGTTACTGTTCTGACAGTACACATGGGGAAATTGAGGCAAAGAACGATCACACGGCCTGCTCTGTGTGTCCAGCTGGAACCAGTATCTCCTAATTCCAGGCTGCAAGGTTCACCTATGAGAGTGTATTTTACACAAGAAGAAAAGAAACTTCAAAGATATATTTAGCGTATCTGAAAGAACGGAAATATCAGAAAGAGAGAAGACCAGAATACCAGGTTTCGTATGCAAGAGTCCCCTTGCTTGGGTCATCCATATTTAATAACTCCACACAAATGGCAGCCTGAAGCTTCAATTCCCTGGCAAGGCAAGCTACAAGACAATCTGCTAAGAGGAAGAAAAGTCACCAGAGGAGACAAAGGTAGACCATTCATGAGAAAGGGACAGAATTCCCTTAGGCTAGGTTTAATCAGGCAGCTCTGAACCTCCCTCCTTTGAGCATCTTTACTGTTACTTTCCCTGTGAAGTTAGGCTGTTGTCTCTGCAATCTGGAGATATCTAACAACACGTATTTCAGATCTATAGCAAAGTGCCAGTCAACTAGAAAATCAAATGATCATAAATGAAGACATGGGACAGTCACTGACTTAAGGATGTTTTTTTCCACCTGAATTTGAAGACCTGCTTCAACAACCTGTTTCTGCTTGTTTTGAAAAAAAATTCCCCATGGGAAACCACATCATTCTACATCTCTGGTGGGTCAAAAAAAAAAAAAAAAAAAAAAAAAAAAAAAAAAAGGTAAGCAAACATATCTGTTCACAGCTCAGAGAAGCTGAGGAAGACAAAACATTTTCAGTGACTTCTGAGGGATTTTCTTTATCCTGTGAGTATTCATGACCCCTTGAGGAAGGAATAAAGGACAAAGGAAATCAAATAATGTTCAAAGATTTGCATCTGAAATCTAATTAAGCTAAGAAACTGTTGTTTAGGCTAAAACCTCACACAGGTAGCCCAGCCCCTCAGGACAAATAGAAACACCAATTTCAGTAGCTTTACAGTTCCATAACTTTCTTCCTGCAGTAGAAGAACTATGTGTCCTTCATACTCAAGAATAATATTTTGTCCCATGCTTTATAAGAGCACCTCAGAAAAGGATAGCTTACTGCAGTGCTCAGGAGTGAATATAAAGTTTATTTCTATCTATTGCTAAGAGGCTGTAAACTGCACAACATGCGACATGCAGACGATGATTAATCCATGTGGCAGTCTCCATTTTGGGATGACAAAACACCTCAAAAGCACTATTCTTTAACTTACTGAACTTTCTGTGCCCAATCAAAGTTATTTATATTTCAGCTCTGTTGATACACCACATACTTCAGGCAATTACAATGCACAGCTGGTTGCTTTGGGCACTGGACTCAGAGGTGGCATGGGGAGAACTTGACCAGGCTCAGGACCAAAATGTCAGAGAAATACGTTGCTTTTTAAAAAACGCTTCCAAGGAAAAATGAGGATGTTTTCTTTCACTACACCAGTTGTTCAATCAGAATTTTTATCCTGCAGCATCTGGTAGCCCCATACAGCTCAGTTTCTGCAACCCCCTGCCCCAGCAAACCTGAGCACACATTCCCAATAAGCTCACACACAAAATATGTGCACTATTACACTGGCATAGCCAGCCAGCATATTTTATCTCATAACTTATCATAAACCTTTACAACCAAGAGCCTCTTACTACGTTCAAAATAAAGATGTTACAGGTAAATTGAAATTACTTTTAATTGTGTGTTCAATAATAACCATGCCAGCACAGTATTTTAATTCCAGGGGGAAAACCCCTGAATGTAGAAGGCAGGATTAAATGATTTCAGCTTCCTTCAAACACATTCACAAAGAGAATACTGCAGTGCAGCTACAACTGGAGACAACTGCCAGAGGTAAAGCTCAGCCCTACAACACAATCCCGAGTAAATGGGATGGACCCAGCCCCTGGTCCTGGATGGATGGATGGGCACATTCCCTGTACTAAAGCTTTGCTTGGGAGCTCAAGCACGGCCTTTTCCTCAGTTCTGACTCACACCAGCCACAAGGACACTTGCTCCTACCCAGTGATGCTGAGCAAGCTCACTGTGAGACAAAGGGATCTGTACAAGCCAGGGCCACAATAATGACTCAGAACAGGGGCTCTGAAAGCCAAAATGACCACCAGTGAGCTAAAAAAGAGGATGGCCCCAAGGCAAATCCATGCTCAAACTCTCAGCAGCCTCAAAGGTGAATTCAAGTCTCCTTGGCATTTACAGGGGTGGCTATTACCCATTTCCATCTCCACCAAGAATCTCAGCAGCCCTGATTTGTCCTAATTTTGTTATCATTGACCTTTACACCTCACAAGGATTATAGTAGTTCTTTCCCTGCTCTGATCCAGCAGAGAGGATGCTATTCTTAACCAGGGTACATCACAGAACAGCAGCTGATGAGCTGCTGAGCCACCACGGGGAGAGGCACACGGAGATGCTCTCACAACAGAATATTCATTCTTAAATTAAGCTGCTCTGTTGAAAGTGGAACCTATATGTGAGGCCCTTGTCCATCTTACCTCCCAGCTCAATATAACTGCTTTCTGCTGCAAAATGACATACCTGTCCTTCCATTGCACAGCTCCAGATATTTCATACATTTCCAGGTATCCATTAAATACTGGCTGTTGCTCGCCCACCTGTGCCTTAATATCCCCCACCTTATTCACATTTCCTTAGGAAATCTGATAGGAGGAGGCCTGGCACTTCTGTAGATAAACTGATCAGCAAGATAATGAAAGAAAAGATGGAAACAAGTAGAAGAAAACTTGTCAGGTTATACAATATCTGAGTATTTTATGTTAGCCTTAAACACAGATACACTTTTGGACATTAAAACAAAAGCCATCTAAAACTGCTTACTGAGAAATATTACTGTCTTGGCTCACGAGATTTGAGTGATTTTTTTTTTAGAACACAGTATCAGGAGGGAGC